CCAGCTCCCCCGGGGGAGGGGGCCACGGGCCGGGGTCCCCCAGCTCCCGGGTGGGGGGGTCCCACGGGCCGGGCCGGGGTCTCCCAGCTCCCGGGGGGGGCACGGGGGGGCAGCATGCCCAGGGCTCCCCCCCTACGCTCTGGGAGCGGGGCCGAGCCCAGCCCACGGGCACCGGGGCTCCAGGAGCGGCTGAGCCCGCCCGGCCAGGTTCTCTCCGCGCCCCGCCCTGGGGGCCCGCGGCTGCGGAGGCTCCGGCGAGGCGCCCAAGCGGCCCGCCTCTATGGTCACAGCGCGAGATAGAGAAAGCCCATTGGCATCCCAGCCTCTCCTCGCGCTCTCTCCCTCTCCTCAGCATAGGAGGACCGGAAGGAGCGGTTGATATCCCAGAGCTCCGCGCGGCTTCGCTCCTTCTTCTTCCGGTGTGGCCTCGTTCGAGTTGGGGCAGGTGGGGCCGGTCGGGAGAATCTGCGTCCATCCTCTGCGGGGAGGCGCCGGGGGGCCTTTCGGTGGGAGGGTCGAGGTGTGGGGAGCCGGGGGCGCTTGTTGGGGCCGGGGAAAATGGGAGGCGGCCCGGGAGATGGTGTGGGGAAGCTGGCGGCGGCGGCTGGTGGGGGGGCGGCTGGTGGGGGGACAGCTCCGGGAGGGGGGGCCGGAGACTGGCTGGGGGGGGACAGCTCTGGGAGGGGGGGGGCCGGAGACTGGCTGGGGGGGGGGGGACAGCTCGGGGGGGGGGGGGCGGAGACTGGCTGGGGGGGGACAGCTCCGGGGGGGGGCGGAGACTGGCTGGGGGGGGACAGCTCCGGGGGGGGGGGCGGAGACTGGCTGGGGGGGGACAGCTCCGGGGGGGGAGACGGTGGGGGGGGGGGGGGGCGGAGACTGGCTGGGGGGGACAGCTCCGGGGGGGGGCGGAGACTGGCTGGGGGGTGGGGGAAGCTGGAGGGGGTGGGGGCCGGAGACTGGCTGGGGGGGGGCATGCTGTGCACGGCCCAGGGCTGACCCGCTGACCCTCTCCCCACAGACATGGCGATCCGCTACCCCATGGCTGTCGGCCTCAGTAAGGGCCACAAGGTGACGAAGAACGTGTCGAAGCCCCGGCAGTGCCGCCGCAGAGGGGTGAGTGAGCGGGGGGCGGGGCAGCCCGGAGCCGTTGGCCTGACCTAGCACGGCTGGGGGCGGTGTGTGTCTGCGCCCACGGCTTGCCGCATGTCTGGCTCCTAGAGCTGAGCTGGGCAGTACTGAACCCCCTGGAGGTAGCTGGCTTGTGCCCGCCTCTGGGCCAGGTTTGTGGGGGCGCCATGGCTTGCTGAGGCCATGGCCAGTGCCTGGGAAGTGCAGGCTGGCTGTAGACTTTCTGCAGGCTAACGTTAGGTGGGGGCTGTGCCAGGGCTAAGAAGCCAGACCGTGACCGTGGCTTGCAGCTGTTGAGACAGTCAGGAAGTTACCATTTGCCCTGAGTAATCACTGCACAGACGCATACAGGTTTAATACACAGAGGCCTTAATGCATGCGAGGCGTGACTCAGTGGGCAATGGAGAGCTCTACTGGCTAAGTCCTGGTCAGTTCTGCTGATCATTGTCCTTGTGGCAGAGTCCCATTGGTGCTGGATGGCTTTAGAATGGGTTGGTTTCTGTAAATTGGGGTACAGATAAAGATCTGAAATGTATGGCGTGGAATGAGTATTTAAACAAGTGAATGCACATTCTTTGCCATTACAGTAAGTCTTCACTTAAAGTCGTCCCGATTTCATTGCTGATCAATCAGGGAACATGCTCGTTTAAAATTGTGCAATGCTCCCTTATAATGTTGTTTGGCAGCCACCAGCTTTGTCCACTGCTTTCAGTTTTGCAGCAAGCTGGTGGGGGCTTGGAACCAGGGTGAAGCGGCAGCCCTCCTATCAGCTCCCCATTCCCCTAAATACCCTGTCCCTCCCCCCACTGCCATGTGCTGCTCCTGCCCTCTGCCTTGCAGCTGCTTCCCAAGCCTCCTGCTTGCTGTGTGTGTGTGGGGGGGGGGGCGCTGTCTGGGTGTCCCCCTGCTCCTGCACCCCCCGCTTACCCCATCTTCCATAGAGCGGGGCGGGGGACATGACAGGGATCAGGTTGGAGGGAGCTTCCTGACAGCAGCTGTGATCTCAGCTTGCTGATCTACTTAACAAGGCAGTGTACTTAAAGGGGAAATGCACATCACACACACACAGTGTGTTTCTCTGTCCACACACACACTGTGTGTCTCTGTCTGCCATGCTGTCTCCCCTTCCCTCCATTTGTGCTGCCTTGTAGAGTGAGGCTACGTTAACAACACTGTGTTAACCCTTGAGGGCTCAGCCGAGTGCTAGTTCATCATTTAGCAGTAAGGCATTCCCTGGGAAATATCCCCCCCTCTGACTCCACCACCTCAACCAAGCTTCACAATCATCATTGCTGTGTCCAGTATTAAATTGTTTGTTTAAAACTTATACTGTGTGTGTGCGTATATATATATATATGTCTCTTGTCTGCTGAAAAACATTTCCTTGGAACCTAAACCCCCCCCCCCCCCCCCAATTTACATTAATTTTGATGCAGAAATTGGATTCGCTTTACATCGTTTTGCTTAAAGTCACATTTTTCAGGAATGTAACTACAACGTTAAGTGATGAGTTACTGAACATCGTGAATTATTTGTCTAGTGTCTAAGGTGTGCTAAGCACATGACAAAACAAATAGAGGCAAGGTGACTGCCCTGAAGAGTGAACTCTTTCCCATAAAACAGCAGATGGGAGGAGCGAGTAGTGAGATAAGATGTAATATAGAATTGTAGGACTGGAAGGGACCTCAAGAGGTCTTCTGGTCCAGTCTCCTGCACTTATTGCAGGACTAAGTATTATCTGGACTATCCCTGAGAGGTGTTTGTCTAACCTGCTCTTAAAAATCTCTATTAATGGAGATTCCACAGCCTCTCTGGACAATTTATTCCATTGTTTAACCACCCTGACAGGAAGTTTTTTCTAATGTCCAGCCTAAACAGCCCTTGCTGCAATTTAAGCCCATTGCATATATTTATTTGTGTTGATGATGTACATGTGTAGATTGTAACTTTTTCCTTATTTGAGGAAGCGTGACATGTAAGAGGCATAGACTTGACTTGACAGTGGTGAGAGACATAGCAGTAGTGTTGTGGTGGTGGTATGTTCCAGAGTGTCAATGCACTGAAAGTTGTGCACGTGCTCAAGCTTCTCCTGGTGGTGCTGCTGCTGAGTGGAGGGGGGCTACCAGATGGTCACTGATTGCTGGTGGGATTGTTAAGACTTTAGTACCAGTCTGTCATAGGTATGAATTGCAGCATGTACTTTCACACCAGGATAATGGACCCAAATAGCATTTGATTGGTTAATTTCAGTTCTTGACATTTTGAAATTCTTGTGTTTGTCAATGTTCTTAAACCTATGTCCCTTGAGGAAAGCTGCTTCAGATTGCTTTTGGTCCTCATGGTTGATCTGGCTGCTGTGGAATAGTGTTATCGGTGGTAGTGTTGGATCTGTGCTGTAAGGGAGAATATTTGCCTATTGGTGTTAAGATGTTTAATTGCTAATTGGCCAAACAGTGAGGCCCAACGCTCAACTCACTGGCATTTCCTTGCCTGCAAGTCGGGAAATGAAATGCTTTGTCAGAGTTGGAGGGCTGGGGGTTCAGGACTGGAATAGAGGGAGCTGCTTCAAACCCTGACGATGCAGCAGCTGTGAGGCTGAAGAGTTGCCCTGTTCCTGCCTCTGCTGAAATTGCTCTCTCTGCCCATGAAAAATGTGGTTGTGGTGTGGTAAGCAGCAAGGCTGTCTGTGTGAAATGGACACCGTCAAGGGGAGAATGACTGTGGCAGGCAGCTGGGCTGGGGTTACTGGGGGGCATGAATGACAGCTGGCTGAGTTCAGGGCTAAACTGAGAGATTAATAAGACTAGGACTTTTCCGTTTGGAAAAGAGAGGACTAAGGAGGGGGCTATGATAGAGGTCTATAAAATCATGACTGGTGTGGAGAAAGTAAATAAGGACGTGTTGTTCAAAAAAAAAAAAAACCTAGATAAGTTCATGGAGGATACATCCATCAATGGCTATTAGCCAGGATGGTGTCCCTAGCCTCTGTCTGCCAGAAACTTCCCTCTGAAGCACCTGGCATTGGCCACTATCAGAAAACTGGATACCGGGCTAGATGGACCTTTGGTCTGACCCAGTATGGCCGTTCGTATGTTCTATCTTACTAATACCTCTGAGCCTTCACCAGATGCTGGCCACTGGCCTTTATCTATAGAGATGGAAGATACTGGATTTATGACAAGGTGTCAATTTTTTGAGGCTGGGAGAGGCCTCATTTGCAGGTCAATGTGCTATTAACCTGGGAGAGCCTGTTTCACAAGGGACTAGCTCTGCTTTGCCTCCTTCCAGTTGGGGCTTGTAGTATACACACTGTGGCTGTGGGGAGCCTGCTTAAGGAGATACAAGTACAGTGCTGCACATTCTAGAAAGATGAGTGGTGGCTCTTCTGACTGCTGCCCCTCTGTGCTGTGGAGGTGAGTGGGTCTGGATAGCTGAGGGAAAGCAGGACATGCTCATGGGAAATGGAATTTCCCAGTGAATATATTTGTACATGCCAGGTGATGTGCGAATCTACCCTGGTGGAACTTTTCCTCCTAACCCTAAATAGTTATATATGAGGGTTTATATCCTTTCCAAAATCCTTGGGTTTTTTAGTATTTAATAGAACTCTGGATATTCTTGTTATCCATATGTTGAATCCTAAACTCTTGGCTTGAGTTAGCCTATGGAACTCACTGCCATGAGATATTTGTGTGGGATTTGGGTGTATTGTACAGTATTCAGAGTAACAGCTGTGTTAGTCTGTATTCACAAAAAAAGAAAAGGAGTACTTGTGGCACCTTAGAGACTAACCAATTTATCTGAGCATAAGCTTTCGTGAGCTACAGCTCACTTCATCGGATGACAGTATGCATCCAATGAAGTGAGCTGTAGCTCACGAAAGCTTATGCTCAAATAAATTGGTTAGTCTCTAAGGTGCCACAAGTCCTCCTTTTCTTTTATTGTACAGTAGAACCTCAAAGATACAAACACCAAAGTTACAGAGTCAATTGGACGCCATGGGGAAGTGGAAGTAAGCTATCAGGCCAAACCAACCAGCAAATGCTGTACTGTGCCTGTATTGCATTTTAAAGGTAGGCACATCTGGGCTGTCTGACCTGACCCCCAACCCTTACTCACCATGGCGAGGGGAAGTCACTTATAGGTAGGAATTGGTGAATACTATTTTCCCCTCTCCCTGGCCCCTGGCTGGAAGGGGGACAAGTTTGCAAGCTCAGAGCCTGGGGAAAGAAACTTCCCAAACTGCTACTGAACCCTGGCCTGGAGTGTAAACTGCTGGAGCTGGAGCCTGAGCTCCTGCCTGTATGCTGTGCTCTGGAGTAGCAGCTCAGTTTTAAAGGACTGCAGCCTGTGCCCACTGACACCCGTCACCCTTGCAGCCAAGGGCCTAGAACCACCTGTCTACCCCCAGTCCCACTTGCCAGGCAACCACTGCAGAGTGAAGCCACTGCTCTGAGTAGTCCACACTGAGAAGCATCCCTTAACAGCTTGTTCAGAGTTATGAACAACCTCCATTCCTGAAGTGTCCGTAACTCTGAGGTTCTGTTGGATCCATTTTGAATTTGCCTCCTTTCATTTTCATTGAATGTCCCCTTTAAATATAGTGTGCAGCACCACAGCCTGGAATTACAAGATGATTCTCCAAACCACTTAAAACATCTCAAACATTCAGAGAATTAGAGTTCAGCCCTGTAGAGCTTCTGCACACAGGACATGAGGTGCTGTGGCATCTTTAGCTGCCTCACCCCCATCCATTCTCAAAGTAATGCAGATTGGTAAAAATCCAACTATACATATACAATGATGGGATCTAATTTAGCTGTTACCATTCAAGAAAGATCTCAGAGTTATTGTGGAGAGTTCTTTGAAAACATCTTTTCAATGTGCAGCAGCAGTCAAAAAAGGTAACAATGTTAGGAACCTTTCGGAAAGAGATAGATAAGACAGAAAATATCATAATGCTGCTATATAAATCATGGTACGCCCACATCTTGAATGCTGGGTGCAGTTCTGGTTACCTCATCTCAAAAAAAAAAAAGATATGGAACAACTTCTATATGAGAAGAGAGACTGGGAGTTCTCAGCTTGGAAAAGAGATGACTAAGGGGGGGAGCTGATTGAGATCTATAAAATCATGACTGGGGTGGGGAAAGTGAATAAGGAAGTGTTATTTACTCCTCCGCAAGAACCAAGGGTCACCAAATGAAATTAACAGGCAGCAGGTTTAAAACAAGCAAAAGGAAGTATTCACACAATGCACAGTCAACCTGTGGAACTTGCTGCCAAGGGGATGTTGTGAAGGCTAAAACTATAACAGTTCTACGAAGAGAGGGAAGAGCATCTTTGCGAGCAGGCTGGCTAACCTAGTGAGGAGGGCTTTAAACTAGGTTCACCGGGGGAAGGAGACCAAAGCCCTGAGGTAAGTGGGGACGTGGGATACCGGGAAGAAGCACAGGCAGGAACGTCGGTGAGGGGAGGGCTCCTGCCTCATACTGAGAATGAGGGGCGATCAGCAGGTTATCTCAAGTGCTTATATACGAATGCACAAAGCCTTAGAAACAAGCAGGGAGAACTGGAGGTCCTGGTGATGTCAAGGAATTATGACGTGATTGGAATAACAGACTTGGTGGGATAACTCACATGACTGGAGTACTGTCATGGATGGTTATAAACTGTTCAGGAAGGACAGGCAGGGCAGAAAAAGTGGGGGAGTAGCACTGTATGTAAGGGAGCAATATGACTGCTCAGAGGTCCGGTACGAAACTGCAGAAAAACCTGAGTGTCTCTGGATTAAGTTTAGAACTGTGAGCAACAAGAGTGATGTAGTGGTGGGAGTCTGCTATAGACCACCGGACCAGGGGGATGAGGTGGATGAGGCTTTCTTCCGGCAACTTGCAGAAGCTACTAGATCGCACGCCCTGGTTCTCATGGGTGACTTTAATCTTCCTGATATCTGCTGGGAGAGCAATACAGCGGTGCACAGACAATCCAGGAAGTTTTTGGAAAGCGTAGGGGACAATTTCCTGGTGCAAGTGCTAGAGGAGCCAACTAGGGGCAGAGCTTTTCTTGACCTGCTGCTCACAAACTGGGAAGAATTAGTAGGGGAAGCAAAAGTGGATGGGAATCTGGGAGGCAGTGACTATGAGTTGGTTGAGGTCAGGATCCTGACACAGGGAAGAAAGGTAAGCAGCAGGATACGGACCCTGGACTTCAGGAAAGCAGATTTTGACTCCCTCAGGAAACAGATGGGTAGGATCCCCTGGGGGACTAACATGAAGGGGAAAGGAGTCCAGGAGAGCTGGCTGTATCTCAAGGAATCCCTGTTGAGGTTACAGGGACAAACCATCCCGATGAGTCGAAAGAATAGTAAATATGGCAGGCGACCAGCTTGGCTTAACGGTGAAATCCTAGGGGATCTTAAACATAAAAAAGAAGCTTACAAGAAGTGGAAGGTTGGACATATGACCAGGGATGAGTATAAAAATATTGCTCGGGCATGTAGGAATGATATCAGGAGGGCCAAATCGCACCTGGAGCTGCAGCTAGCAAGAGATGTCAAGAGTAACAAGAAGGGTTTCTTCAGGTATGTTGGCAACAAGAAGAAAGCCAAGGAAAGTGTGGGTCCCTTAATGAATGAGGGAGGCAACCTAGTGACAGAGGATGTGGAAAAAGCTAACGTATTCAATGCTTTTTTTGCCTCTGTCTTCACTAACAAGGTCAGCTCCCAGACTGCTGTGCTGGGCATCACAACATGGGGAACAGATGGCCAGCCCTCTGTGGAGAAAGAGGTGGTTAGGGACTATTTAGAAAAACTGGACGTGCACAAGTCCATGGGGCCGGACGAGTTGCATCCGAGAGTGCTAAAGGAATTGGCGGCTGTGATTGCAGAGCCATTGGCCATTATCTTTGAAAACTCGTGGCGAACGGGGAAAGTCCCAGATGAATGGGAAAAGGCTAATGTAGTGCCAATCTTTAAAAAAGGGAAGGAGGAGGATCCTGGGAACTACAGGCCAGTCAGTCTCACCTCAGTCCCCGGAAAAATCATGGAGCAGGTCCTCAAAGAATCAATCCTGAAGCACTTACATGAGAGGAAAGTGATCAGGAACAGTCAGCATGGATTCACCAAGGGAAGGTCATGCCTGACTAATCTAATCGCCTTCTATGATGAGATTACTGGTTCTGTGGATGAAGGGAAAGCAGTGGATGTATTGTTTCTTGACTTTAGCAAAGCTTTTGACGCTGTCTCCCACAGTATTCTTGTCAGCAAGTTAAAGTAGTATGGGCTGGATGAATGCACTATAAGGTGGGTAGAAAGTTGGCTAGATTGTCGGGCTCAACAGGTAGCGATCAATGGCTCCATGTCTAGTTGGCAGCCGGTGTCAAGTGGAGTGCCCCAGGGGTCGGTCCTGGGGCCGGTTTTGTTCAATATCTTCATAAATGATCTGGAGGATGGTGTGGATTGCACTCTCAGCAAATTTACAGATGATACTAAACTGGGAGGAGTGGTAGATACGCTGGAGGGCAGGGATAGGATACAGAGGGACCTAGACAAATTGGAGGATTGGGCCAAAAGAAATCTGATGAGGTTCAATAAGGATAAGTGCAGGGTCCTGCACTTAGGACGGAAGAACCCAATGCACCGCTACAGACTAGGGACCGAATGGCTAGGCAGCAGTTCTGTGGAAAAGGACCTGGGGTGACAGTGGACGAGAAGCTGGATATGAGTCAGCAGTGTGCCCTTGTTGCCAAGAAGGCCAATGGCATTTTGGGATGTATAAGTAGGGGTATAGCGAGCAGATCGGGGGATGTGATCGTTCCCCTCTATTCGACATTGGTGCGGCCTCATCTGGAGTACTGTGTCCAGTTTTGGGCCCCCCACTACAAGAAGGATGTGGATAAACTGGAGAGAGTCCAGCGAAGGGCAACAAAAATGATTAGGGGTCTGGAACACAGAGTAACAGCCGTGTTAGTCTGTATTCGCAAAAAGAAAAGGAGTACTTGTGGCACCTTAGAGACTAACCAATTTATTTGAGCATGAGCTTTCGTGAGCTACAGCTCACTTCATCAGATGCATACCGTGGAAACTGCAGCAGATATTATATACACAGAGATCTTCATGTTTCATGATCTGTGTGTGTATATAATATCTACCTGAGAGGTGGTTCTAGAGAGGATGGTTCTAGACTATTCTCAGCGGTCGAAGAGGACAGGACAAGGAGTAATGGTCTCAAGTTGCAGTGGGGGAGGTTTAGGTTGGATATTAGGAAAAACTTTTTCACTAGGAGGGTGGTGAAACACTGGAATGCGTTACCTAGGGAGGTGGTAGAATCTCCTTCCTTTAAAAGTTTTTAAGGTCAGGCTTGACAAAGCCCTGGCTGGGATGATTTAATTGGGGATTGGTCCTGCTTTGAGCAGGGGGTTGGACTAGATGACCTCCTGAGGTCCCTTCCAACCCTGATATTCTATGATAACTTCATGGAGGATAGGCCCATCAATGACTCTTAGCCAGGATGGGCAGGGATGCAGCCCCACACTCTAGGTGTTGCTAGTCTCTGACTGCTAAAAGCTGGGAATGGAGACTGGATGGATCACTTGATGATTACCTGTTCTGTTCATTCCCTCTGAAGCACCTGGCACTGGCCACTGTCAGAAGACAGGCTATTAGGCTAGATGTACCATTGGTCTGACTCAGTGTGGCCCCTCTTATGTTCTTTATCATCCTTCCTTAGCAGCCACCTCTGTCCTGCTTCTCTTAGCCAAGCCTATAGCCCCGGGGAAGGAGCATACACAATTTGCACTTAAATCCAGAGTTTTGTTAATCTGGGTTAACCTATGCTTTATTTTTTGTGTTCTTGTCACACCTACAATGCATGAGGTGCTGTCCATGCAGGAGGACTGCCTATTTACGCAGACTTACAGTACATTCTTCTCAAACCTTGCTTCTTAAACTTGCCTTGTTCCTGCATCTGGCTCTGTTCTAGTTTGCCAGATGTATCTGAAATGTCATCTTGCTGCTGTTGTAACAAATGGGAAATGACCAATTTCCCAAGGAGATCCTGTTTTCCTTCAGAAGCTGGAGTATCCTGGCTGGAATGTGCAGTACCTGTGGAGGGAGGACTAGCCAGCTGGTTCTGTATGTGCAGATGACTGAAGTACAAGTGGCAGTTTGTTGAGTTGGTAAAGTTCAGGTGTTTGCCATGTCAGGCAAGAGTGCATAGTGCAGAGCCCTGGGGCCTACAAGTGACATGGAAATTAGAGAGTAAAGCCTGTGCAGTCTCCTGCTGGGGTCTACCTAGGGCTCCCAGTAAACAGTTACATCCTTCTTTCCAAACTGAATGCAGGTCGTGCTGGGTGTGTGAAAGATGCTTCAGGTGTCACTCGTACCAGAATCACTGCAGTTCTGGCTCTTCGGCAAATTCCAGTTGCCTGCAACATACAGCCCAACCACTAACTTAGCAAGGCTTTAGGCAAATAACATTTCCCCTCGCCTCTTACATGCTGCTCACACTGAACCACTGTTTCTCTGCAGCGCCTGACCAAACACACTAAGTTTGTACGAGACATGATCAGAGAGGTCTGTGGCTTTGCCCCCTATGAGAAACGTGCTATGGAATTGCTGAAAGTTTCCAAGGACAAGCGGGCTCTGAAGTTCATAAAGAAAAGGGTAAGTGAATTTAACATCTTACTTCAGAGGATGTGTCCAGCTTTGCTAGCTCCTCTTCCCTCCCCCCAAGTCAGAGGATCCCACCCTACAGCAGACTTAGCATTGAGTAAGGACAGAGCCTTGAGCAATCAGGAGCCTGGTGGAGGCATGGCGTAGGAGAGCAGCAACAGCTATGCCTGTCCTAAGTTTACCTCAGTGATGGAGAGAACTTAGAGGCGCTCCCTTGAAGGGGAGGCCCTGAAGGGTGATCCGGAACTTGCTTTGCAAAGCTCATGCAAGGGTGATGGGAGTGAGACTGAGCTGGATTCATCCAGCTAACCCAGTGACTTGGACCAGAAGGAAGTAAAGCTCAAAACTGCTCTGAGCATGCAACAGAGCTACTGGGATTTGGGCAGGGAGAGGAGCTGGCTGGGGTTGTTCCATCAAACTGAAGGAGCCCCTGTTTTTCAAGCTTATGTTTGTGCTCCACCGTACAGGCCTTCAACTGTGAACATGTATCTCCTTTGTCTCCCAAAACAGCCTAGCCAATGTTAGGCAGAATAAGAAAGGCACCCTACTACAGCACCAGCATCAAATGCTGCAACTGCTCACTGTGCTGCTTTCTTTCATACACAGGTTGGTACTCACATTCGGGCCAAGCGAAAACGTGAGGAGCTCAGCAATGTTCTGGCAGCTATGAGGAAGGCTGCTGCCAAGAAGGATTAAGCTGCAAAAACTCCTGTAACTCATTAAAGTGTGTTCAGAGAATCCAGCAGTATGATGGTGTTATTAGCAACCTGACAACTGGAGAGTGCTTGCCATGGGGGAGTGGAGGGGAAGGGACAGTGCTGAAATACCTCCAAGAGTAACAAAGGGTTAAACTTGGCTCATGTCTTGCTTTGGATAGATGTTAATTTTAGATTTGAGAGACAAGGTGTGTGAGGTAACATTTTGTTAGACTAATTTTTTAGATCTAGACCTGAAGAAGAGCTCTGTGAAAGCTTGTCTCTCTCCAAAAGAAGTTGGTCCAATAAAACATTATCTGACACACTTTGTCTCTCTGCTTGGACCAACATAGCTACAACACTGCAAAATTACATTTGTCTGGTATTGAACAACCAGCATGTCATTATCCCAGACAGGTGAGTGGGAGGAAGGGGTAGTGAGGCTGTATGTTCAATGCTTCTCAATTTTGTTGCTTAAGGCATACCCATGCAAGTGTCTTGTAGGATTTAATAAGCCTGCCCCTTTAGTTAAGGAGTGTCAAACTGACCTTGTGGTGAGGGCTGAATTACTATTTCAAGGGGAATATGGGGATTGGGAGTAAGAGTTGCACTAGCAAGAGTCAAATGTGAGTCTCATCCATCTGCTGTGTAAGTCTCGAAGTTGTAGATGCATATGAGCCACTTAACCAACTCCAGGCTTGGAAAACAGCATAATACAGGAGTGCAGTGGCTTGTCCTCCAAGGCAAGGCACTCCTGCTGAGCCCAAGCTGCCTTTGAGGAGGGCAAGCTGGGACCTATATTCACCAGCCCTTTAATTAAAGAATGATAGCTGGAAGTCTCAGCAGGTTTTGGGGAGAGCTCCTCCAACAGAAAGCAGGAGCTAGGGTTGGCTGCTCTCAAAGAATCACTTCAGCTCTAGAGCACAGGTGGCTAGAGTAAAGGACTCATCTGCACCAACCATTGAAGATGAAGTGAAAAACCAGGATCTAGCCCTGTTCCTTTTTACAGAGCTTTCTCTGAGCTGCCATAACCTCTTGACTATGTACATGCCTATTTCAGTGGGGAATACACTGCTACCACTATTCCTAGCTGCAGAGGGAAACTTAGTTTTTAAATCACTTACACATCAGTAAATCCCATCTTCAGTAGATGAGGCAGGACAGACTAGTGCAACGCAGACCCGCATCTTATTAGAAATATTTTAATCAGGTCATAATTCAAATCCCTTCGTAAACGTAAGTGGGAAATGCCTCACAGTAACCAAGGCAGCAGCAAATTAAGCCATAATTAATTTCAGTGGCTGCGCAGCAGCAATATTCATGCTCCAAGTGTTACCTGTCCCAGGCCATCTCGCTTTTGGGGTGGTGTAGAGCAGCCAGGGACGGACCCTTAGTACAAACGGTTCACATCAGTCATCCTCCAGGGGTATCAAGTTCTGGAAACACTATGTCAAATATTTTGTTGTAGTGCTCAACAAAATGCACTTCTAGTCCCTCTGTAATGAAGTCAGCAAGGTCATAGTAATCCTTCTTGTTCTCTGATGGGAGAATGATACAGGTAACACCAGCTCGCTTGGCCTAGGGAGGAAAGAACACCATTATATGGACTGTGGTAGGAAGTGTATTTAGCAAAGGAAAATTTGTGGAACATGTCTTTGCTGGAAGAAGTAGTTCCCCTTCATTGTGCATAGTCCTGGATTTTACAGATTAAGGCCTGTATCTTAATCTTTGTCACTTACCAAAAATTTTCCTCCACATTAAGAGATGCCAAGGACAATTGAAATGGAAAGTATCTAAGGCTGCCTTGTTTGGTCTTAGCCAGGAAACTCTTTAGCAGACCTGAATTAAAAATAATTTGCTTGGGTAGTTTAGACAAGGTCTGCAAGATTTTAAAACCTTGGTCTAACCAAGGTCAGGCTGTACAATTTAGAGACAATGCACTGGTTAGCAAGGGCTAAGTAGGCTACACTTTGCCCGCCATCAGTAGAAGTTACCAATGCTTCGCTTCCTTCAGAGAAACAAACCTACACCTATCCTTAAAAACCCACAATAGGCCCCTCAGTCTTCCAGAAGCCCTTCAAGCCAGATAATCTTCAGTTACCAGCCTATTCCTGGGCAAAACTGTTACCAAAAGCCACCACCACCATGCAAGGTTTTCCAACATGCTAGATACTCCTTAGGTACAGCACAGGGAAGCACTGGTGCCAATAAAAGCTGACCTTGTGGCCACAGGCAAGATCTCCATGCTCACACTGCTGGGCCTGTTTGCAGTGTTGTTGAGCCATGCTGGTCCTGGCCTATTAGAGAGACAAGGTAGGTAAGGGAATATCTTTTACTGGACCAACTTCTTTTGGGGAAAGAGACAGCCCTGAAGAAGAGGTCAGTGTAGCTCGAAAGCTTGTGTCTTTCCCAAACAGAAGTTGGTCCTATAAAAGATATTCCCTCCCCCACCTTGTTTTCACTATTAACACCCACAGGACAGCAGGAGTAGGTGGTCCAGCACTACAGTGATGTCACTCAGCAAGCACTCTAGGGCCCTCCCCATTGTCATGCACCAGCAGATGATCTTACACAAGAGGAAGGTGCTTACTGCAATAGTCTTCTCCTTGATTCCACCAACAGGAAGAATCTTTCCAGTTAATGACACCTCTCCAGTCATGGCCACGTTTTGCCTCGCTGGACGATTCATGGCCAATGACAGTAAGGCCGTTATTATGGTACATCCTGCACTTGGCCCGTCCTTGGGAGTCGCTCCCTGGAAAGAGAAAGTCACACTCTGACAATCATTCAAACCAAGCAGAGGCTTGTGTGAAATACTTAGTACTGTCATGATGTACACAGATCTGTAGTAGAGCCCACTTCCACACCTTTGTCACTGCCAGCTTAGTACGGTCAGGGGAACAGAAGCCCAGTTCCAGACTTCAGCAGGTCTCCAGCTTTGCTGTCTGATG